TAAGTACATGTACAGGTGTGGAGCTAAGTACATGTACAAGTGTGGTTTTTTTTCCCTGTACATGTGTATTTTGAAAGAGATTTATAGGATCTTACATGAGTTTCCACTTGATATAAGATTTATGAAACGAGTCTAAGAATATTTCAATTAAGGGAGCCTCTGGCAAGCTAAAATGAAAAATTTGTGACGAGTGTAAAATTGTTTTTATCACATAATCAAGATTTGTGGCATTTTTTTCGTGTAAAACAACAATTTTCATGCAACCTTGAAATAAACAAAGCTGCCATATTGACTCCAGTGCGTAAGTCTATGACGTCATGTACTTGTCCTAGGCGTGACGTTACAATATAAACAATTGAAACTTAAAACCAATCAGTATAGTCAATGGATAACATAGAACATTATGTGACAAGGAATTTTGACATGTGATCTCCTGTTAATATGTGGTGTGATCAGCACACAATATGAACACTCACCAGAAGTTTGATTCCCCCATTGCCGCGGTTGTTGAACACGACTGATCTAAAACATCAATCAACACTAAGATTGTAGTTAGTATTCCATGGACATAACATTCAGTATCATTATACAATGTACAAACCCATAACTGGCTTAGTGTTACTATACAACATTTGATATAGCACCCTCTCTAGCTAGAATAAGCCACTCTAAAGCGCTTTACAGTACATAGATATAGAATTTTATACAATCAATAGAATTAGCATATACATTATTAATCAATACAATTTTGAGGAATTCGCAGGAGCTGCATTATCAGGCGCTAACTACTAGTCCTATGCCACCTGGCTAATATCTCCTGAAATTTACAATTTAAATAAAGCCCCAGATGATCTTTCCATCCATGCAGAGAAAATGACTGTAGTACCTCTGAGTCTGAAGAAGAAGATTTTTTAAATATTGTTTAATTTTCCATTTGGGGCCCCACCCTGGCCCCAGGGGTTGGGGTAGGAATCCTAATTTTACAATTGTGTAGCCTCATCTATCAAGGATGATTCTGACCAAGTTTGAAAAAATTCTATCAACTGGTTCTTGAGAAGAAGTTGAAAATGCAAAAAGTTTACGCACGAGGGCGTACGGAAAGCGATCAGAATAGGTCACTCGAGCAAAGCTCAGGTGACCTAAAAATGGCCTTCAATCTATCCTGAAGATATATGCCTGGTATAATGTATTATGTTATTTTGGTGGTGTTCTTATTTTATCTTGTTTGGCACTACTTGTGAATCACCAATTTATGTATAACTTTAACAATACAAGATTTCAATGGACATTTGCTCAAGTAAAGAATCCCCGTATAATTGTGTTGATAGAAATATACTGTGGAACACTAAAACAGGAGAGTAATGATATAATTACTACCTTAACAATGCTTTCTCAATCTAGTGAAGAGTTATGTTTTGATGAAAATATTATATGCATATTACAACCTGCAGGTTAAGAAATCAATACCACATATACACACTTATTTATTGCCCGAGTGGAGTGCCCTTAGAGTGCTACATTAAAATAACAAACGGTAACCAATCAGTAGTGCTGAATTAATGAGGAAAACTTAATTTTCACTGCAGTTCAAATTTTGATAAAACTTCATAAGTCACAATTTTAGTAAAAATATTGCAAAAATAATACTTGTGTTAATATTAACACATATTAATACCAATGTAAATTGGTTATTTGATATGTTTGATTAAATTTTAATCAATACGATTAGCTGTTGACCATATAAAATACCATTTTATAGAATGTGCAACTATAGCTGTGAGTAGCACTCAAAGGGTGCTAGTCTCCAGGTACAAACCGCACATCAGAAAACATTGGTAGATTGTACAAAAGTCACTGAAACACCTCTAAAAATGAAAACATGTTCAACTTGGTAGTTTTAGATAGGAAGATATTTTTAAAGTATGATTTTTTTTATATAAATTTGTAAAACACAGTGTATATTAAAATCACTGGAATAATTCAAACACTAATTTAAATCAGTCTACCATTTTCAATTTCTTAAATACAAAAAAAAATAACATACGAGGTAAAACCACACATGTTCATGTCGTCTCCGACAGTACAAGCACATTGTGTGTATAGATACATTTAACAAGAGCGTTACCCGGAGTGTCGTGTATCCACTCGGGCAATAAATAAGTGTGTAGATGTGGTATTGATTTCTTAATGTGCAGGTTGTAATATGCATATCATATTTTCATCAAAACATAACTCATCATCACCCAATATTAGTATTTAATTAAATGTTTCTAAAAACACCTGGGGGGTTGGGGGTGGGGGAATTGTCAATTTGAATATTTGACATTTGACATTTATCATCAAAAACTGGCTAGGATGAGAGATCGACAGTAACCTTAATTTGAGTGCTACAACCTGATGACAGATACCGACCTGTAGCCGTGCTGGGTTGCTTCGTGTACATACTGTAACACATAGGAGTCACTGCTGGTACCTAAACAAACCAATCATCATAGAGTTATATCATTGTACT